AAAACAGTAAATAGACCATAAGAGCTAATGATTCCAAAAAGGGATGAAGAAAAAACATAGGGCATGTCACAAAGGTGAGGCTTAGAGCAAGCAAGAGGATAAGTAGCTCAGGGTTTTTGAGTTACACATGGAGGTAATCATACAAATGACATCCAAGTGGGGTTTTTTTACCTCCCCAGCTCCCTGCCTCTGGGGGTGAGAGACTTGACTTCTGAGAGATTTAGAAATATTACATAGCTCCTTTCCTTTCATTAAAAGCAGCCCAGTATTATGCCCTCAAATTCACAAACATACTCCAAATGAAATAACTTCCTGTTTGTTCAAAGGATCCTTTGAAATACACCTCTGCAAAACACAACCACGGCCACCATCGGCCAGTTTGCATAACACTGTACAACGCGGCCCCAGTGACATCTCTCAACAATGGAAAAAACCAGACATCTCTGCACACAGTCCAGCCTCTGTGCCCTAAGCCAGTCCTTGGATCCTCTCCCTTTATTGAGAGTGTCTCACCTCTGTAAACAGCTCAGTCAGCTCGGCTTTTGTAGCCCGCTTTGGTAGGGAAGCCTCCACAAGCTCACAGTTGTATCTCCACAGTGGCCAGCAGTTTGCTACAGTCAATCTTTGGCTGGAGGCTTGCCCAAAATGTTCCATCTCCAGCCTCCACCCTCTGCTGCTCCTTAGTCTTTCTCCTTCCCTGCCAACACCTACAAAGCCCCAAGGGGGGGGGGGACCCAGGGGACTTTGATTTCTTCATTTTGTCCATGTCATCATTATTCATCTCTAGTGGGCCTGGCATCCATTCCTCTCACTGTATTTCTTTTTTGAGTGCCTGCTCACTGGACTGAAAACAGCCCATTATGGTAACTTCTTGCCTTTTCAGACTATAATATGGGGGGAAACATACTGTGTCCCATTCTTTGCTTCCACATATAACTAGAGAAACTATATATCAAATAAATGGAAATAAAGGAATCATACTTCTCCTCTCTTCCTACTCTAGAGAGCAAGCTAAGAAGATAGTCAATCAATAGGAGCAAATTACTGTTATTAGTCAGTAGGTACATATGAAAGAAAGGACAAGAGACTAAAATCATAAAGCAAAAGAAGAGGTAAAATGGATAAAAAGGGAAAGGAAAGTAATGGAAAATAACAGAGGGAATTAATCAGCCCCATAAACTACTCCCAAAGGTCTGGAGTTCTCCTGAGGAGAACTGTAGTGTTTTATCAGCTTGTGTTCCTTCTACAAGTTAGAATGAAGTTACATTTCTATCAGCTGATCTCCAAGCCCTGCCACCCAAGAATGCTAAGCTTGATGCAACACATTTCACAGCACTTTACAAAAATACCATTATAGTAGTTCTTACATTTCCACTCTGAATGGTAGACTAGTTTTATTACTCCCACCCTGCAGATTGAGGGACAGGTGATTGAAGCTGGGAGCTTAGCTTGTCTAAAATGCTCTAGGAAGTCTACCATTAAGACGTGATATGAATTACTGACTTTGCAGTAGAACAGACAATCTGCGACATCCTCCAGCCACCCCTACCTCACCAGCAGGCATCCAAGCCACTCCCTCATCTTTCCCTCAATGCCCACAGCCATTAAGAGATTTCAAATTTCAGCCTTGGTTCCAACGCAGCTGATCACCGCTTGCCCGTCAGGCCTTGCTGCCAGCCAACTGGGCACAGGGGCCAAAGGGAGGTGGGAAAGAGGTTGGGGATTGCTTGCTTCCTTCCTTGCTTCCCTCCCTCCCTGCCTTTCCACATATAATATAGGCTTGTGCCATTTACCCTCCACTCCTGATCCTTAGGAGAGCCCCAGTGAAGCCTCCTCCTCCTCCCACTCAGCTGACCAGCGGAACTGCCTGCCACTTTGCTGGGGTGAGGTGGAACAAAGGGAACTGTGGACTGTGAGGAAAACTGTACCCCCACTCCCCTTTCTGGCATGTTCCCAAGGGCTCCCTCCCTTGAGGGAGGAAGAGGGCTCCCCCGTTGACCGCCAGCTCCCCCCAGCCAGCCCTACCTCACCAGTGGGCATCCAAGTCGCTCTCTCACCCTTCCCTCAATGCCCACAGCCATTAAGAGATTTCAAATTTTGACCTTGTTTCCAAAGCAGCCAATCACCCCTTACCCGTTGGGCCTTGCTGCTAGCTGATAGGGTGCAGGGGACAGAGGGAAGCAGGAAAGAGGTTGGGGATATGCCCATGACAATCACATGACCTGGGCTGACCACGGTGGTGCAGCAGCACAGTAATACTGAAGCAGACAGAAATTCCCCAAATTTCAATCCCATGGGAGCAATGGGTCCTGGATTTTGGACACATTCTGTAAGTTATTGCACTTGAGATACCTTGGTTCAAAAATTGTTGCCTTATGATGCACCGTTTTGCCCAATTGAAGGTTACAGACATAAGAGTTTTAGTAGTATATAGATGTACCAATGGTATATGACACCTCAGAAATCATCTAAGATGTACAAAGGTACGGTTGGAAATGCAGAAAACATGAAGGATTTTTTTTACCATGCATGGTGGATGTGTGAAAAACAAGAAAATATTGGATACAAATACATACACTGATAACAGAGAATTTTCATTGGGACATATGGATAGCCATAAAGTTATGGAAGAATGGTTTGTGCATGGGGACTGCAGCAAGGCTACTATATGCACCAAGCTGGAAAAATACTGAAATACCCACAATGGAGGAATGGACTATAAAGATGACAATTTGCAGAAATGGCAAAACTGGCCTATTTGATCAGGGATAAGACAACAAAAAGACTGGAAACCTTTTATGAACTTTTTGCTAAAAATGGAAAAAATATTTGGTGATTTATGGATTTGTTGATTAAAATTGGTTGGACATGGGAAGAAGAGAATTATGATATAATCTTAAGGAGGGAGGCAAGATGATCAGTTTGTATGTATCTGCTGTAAGGAAGATCAGGAGTCATTTCTTTTCTTTCTATCTATATATCTTTCTTAGCTTCTCACTTCACTTTTTTTCCTTTTTCTTTTCTTTAATTTTCCTTTATATTATCTTTTATTCTTGTGAAAATTCCTGCTGTACCGTACATCC